CCCTTCCCCTACTCTCCTCTCTTCTCATTTCCTTTCCTTCTCTCTTTTCTCTCTCTCTCTCCTTCCCACTTGCTTGGTTGAGCCTACTCCCTTGGTGCTCTCTCCATATGCCCCTCCCTTTGTGGCATAGTGTGACTCTTTCTCTAGGACCTGTGAATATAATGAAATTTGTTTTCCTGCACCTCTCCTGCATCCTCTCTTGTGGCCTGGCTAATCACCTCATGAAAGAATACAAATCAACCTCTCAATAAGAACTTCAATGAATTATTTTCTTGCTGTTTAAAGTGTATCATAAAATGCATTTGAAAGTGCAAACCATGGGTCCTAAGACTAGCAGATAATCATGAATCCAGTAGTGATATCTCTTAACTAAAGAGGGAGAGCTAGATTTGGGGCTTTGTTGGCAATGTCTGGTGGCTATGATGCTAGTACAATCTCTAGCTCCTCACTGGAAAACCAAAAATGAAATTCAAAAGCTGGCTTACTGCTTTCTTCGGTGAGGAATCAATTGCGAAAGAATTTGAATGTATACAGTCTTTTCTACCAACAGCAATATGCCTGGCCCACCACGGTGTCCTTGATGGCTCAGATGGGACTAGTCCAATTCTGCCAACATCTGCCACTGACAGCTAAAAGTTGAAAGAGTGGCAGCAGATGAAGGAGAGTAAAAACAGTAGTAGGCGCCCGACCGGGTGTGGCTCAGCGGTTGAGCGTCAACCTAGGATCCAGGCGATCAGGGTTCGATTCCCGGTCAGGGCACATGCCTGGGTTGTGGGCTCGATCAATGACTCTCTTGTCGTTGATGTTTCTCTCTCTCTCTCTCCCTCTCCTTTCCTCTCTCTGAAATCAATAAAGATATATTTTTTTAAAAAAACAAAACAAAAAAAACAGTAGTAGGCAGAGGAGACTGAAAACGAAAGGGATGGGTGCCATTTAAGTGATGAATTCAACTGAGGATTTTCAAGTACAGAGGCACTGAAATGCCTTTCTTCCTCTCATCTTTTGTTACTGACCCACCCCATTAGTTTTCAAGTTAAATTATGGTGAAGATGGCCACAATTTCTTTGCCTACCACTTTTTGTGGCTGGGCAAGCATGGATGGGAACTTAGCTGCCTTCAGGGGTGAAGTAAAGTATGCTGAAACCCACCTGCCTCCATCCAAAATGTATTGTCCACCCACCTGGAATCAAAATTGAAACTCCTTATTAAAGTTACTCTTTTGGGTCAAAGCATTAAAGGTTCCTATTAAAATGCAACTATGTTGCCCTGGTTGGGTAGCTCAGTTGGTTGGAGCGGCCTACTGATATGCCAAGGTTGCAGACTCAATTCCCAGTCAGGGCACATACCAGAATCAACCAATGAAGGCACAGATAAGTGGAGCAACATCTCTCTCTTTCTCTAAAATCAATAAAAACAAACAAAAAAGTATAATTTAAAAAGTAAATAAATAAAATAAAATACAACTATGTTACCTAAAAGAAGTAATGTATAGTGCCTAGCACAGAGTACACATTCTCTAAATGTGTCATTTTAAATATTAAATTGTCACTGTCTATGGTAAGAACCTTAGTAAAGATTTATCTACCAGCCCTAGCTGGTTTGTCTCAGTGGTTAGAGCACTGGCCTGCAGACTGAAGGGTCCCAGGTTCAATACTGGCCAAGGGTACGTACCTCAGTTGCAGGTTCGGCCTCAGTCAGGGTAGGTGTGGGAGGGAACCAGTCGATGTTTCTCTCTCTCTCTCTCACTCTCTCTCTCTCTTTCTCTCCCCCGCCCCCCTTCCACTCTCTCTGAAAAAGCAATGGAAAAAATATACTCAGGTGAGGATTAAAAAAAGATTTATCTACCAGATTCTCTCCTATATACTAGGGCTCTTGAGGAGCTACAATGGGAAGATTTTGAGGAAGATTTTGATACGGAACAGTAGCAAAGATTGCATAGCAGAGTCTGAGTTTTGGAGGATGGTGGAGAAAGAGGAGGCTGAGAGCATGAGGAACTTTGAGGAAGAAAAGAGCAGTTTTAAAGGGTGAGAAAGAGGGATGGGAGTTTGGAAATTAACATTTATTGATTCTTCTGTGAATCAGGCACTGAATTAGATGCTTTCACATCTACTATCTTATTTAATCCTTATTTAATCCATAATAACTTTGTATGGAAAGAAATGTTAATATTCCCATTCTGCAGATGAGAAAACTGGGGTTCAGATTAAGAAAGTAACTCAAAGTCACACACTGCCTATATGTGATGGAATATAGACTTGAACCTGGACCTGTTTCCTAAGCTTATGTTCCTGAACCATGCTATCTCACTGCTCATATTTGTCAAGGGGTGACCAACTTAGTTTCTGATTGATACCCCTTTTGCCCCAATGCTCCAACCAATTGCAAGTTCAGTCTTCTGTGACTTCCAGGTTTCTGTGTCATTCTTAGCCATGGGCTAGCAGAGACAAAAGATTTGTATCGGTGATGAGGTAGGAAGAGATTTTGCATTACCAAATGGACAGGAAATTGGGAAGAGCCTAGAACCATTTTTTTAGTTGCCCAAGGATTTGAAAACTTTCTGTTCCAGGCTCCAATGTATGTCATGTCAAATCCAAAGTTCTGGAGTAATCTATGTGCCAGTTGTGCCCCTGGGCCCTGTCCCATATCTCCTGCCCCATGTATACCAGTTTGGTATATTCTGGCAGCAGGTCCATGTAGATCAGGAGGAGAGGATATGAAAAGCAGAATAGCTGGTGTGGGGAGAGGTAAAAACTGTCACTTCCAGAGTAGGTGATGTAGGAGTGAAAGACTTGGAAGACAAAAAGACTCCCTTTTCTCTCACCACTGGAGAAAGGGGCTAGGGAGAGGAGTCTATCCACCAAGAGGTTCATCCACAAGATTGTAGAGGAAACCACCCCCCAACTGAGATCCAGCTGTAGTGCCTGACTTGGAAGGTTCTTTCCTCCCCTACAGAGGAGAGTGAAAGAAGAGTGTGGGAGAATTTATAGCCTCTGGAGTCATTTGTCAGGGGCTTAGGCTGCTATGTCCAGAGGCAACACAGAGAGAACCAGGTAGCTAAAGACAGTTTTCTTAACCTTAACTTCCAATCCCCACCCCATCTCAGCTCATTGCCACATCTCTCTCCTCCTTCGTCAGTGGGATTGAGCGTCCTTTTCATTAACCTTTTAGTTACCACATCTAGGCACATACTTTTCTATGTTCTCCAAAACTGTCAGCTCCACACTGCCCATCAGTGACCCCTCCCCGCCCCCAAACCTGGCTCTGCCCTGAGACGGGGAGGTACTGGCCTCCCAAACCTGTGGGTTTGGGGGGTTGTTCACTGTCCGTAGGATCTCTGCTGTAAAAATTGAGCGGTAGGGACGGGGCATGCGCAGCATCTTCGGGCGCATTGTGATGGGAACTGCTTCTCCGAATCTCTACAAAGACTCTTGAGTAACCACTAACCGTCCCCCCTTCCCCCGTCAGACCCCCTTCTTTAAGACAGACATACAAGCGCAGAGATAATGCAGCTTTTCTTCCTTCCTTTTTTAAAGGGCCAGTTGCAGCTTGAATGGCTGGTCCACATGAGGAATAGTGTATTTCTATTGATCCCATCGTCCGTGTTGACAAACGCCAACGCCAAGGCTTTGCAGTCCGGGGCTGCAGTTTGCAGTAGAGCTAAGCGGTGTGCGGCTTTAATTCCACGTCAGATCAACTTTGATCGATATCCCCCTACCGGCCCAATTGGAAGAGCCCAATTCACGGGCTCTGAGCCTTTTCGCTCTTTCGTTCTTTCCCACCCCCCTCTTTAGACCCACCATCTTCTGGGGGGACAAAAGTCTCAGATTTTGTTTATAATTTCTTTCTTCTTCTCTCTTTTGTTTGGTTTTTGTTTATGTTTTTCGGTGTTTTGTCTTTTTTTGTTTTGTTCTGTGTTTTAGGTTATATTCTCTCTGTCTCCCTCTCTCTTCTTTCTCTCTCTCTCCCCATCTCTCTCTCTTCTCATCTCAGTGATAGGGAGAAAGATCACAGCCAGTGAACCCGCCTTCCAGATTGGTGTGAAGAACGAAGTGAGGTGGGGGGCGGGGAGGGGGTGTGAGAGAGTCTAGGAGCGAGAGGGAGCAGAGAGAGAGAGAGAGAGAGAGCAGGAGGAGGTGGAGGAGGAGGACTAGTGTAGGTTGGAAAGGAAGAGTGAGCGAGAGCAAGTTGAAGGGAGGGGGAGTAAGAGCCAGCGAATTCTTTTTCTTTTTCTGTTATTATTTTGACGACTCCCCAGTTGCGCCCATGCTACTGTCAGCTTCGTTTTAGGCGTAGCATGGCCAGGCAGAAGAAAATGGAGCAAAGCGTGCTCCAGGCGGTCTTCTTTTTAGTCCTGGGGCTTTTGGGTCATTCTCACGGAGGATTCCCCAACACCATCAGCATAGGTAAGCGTGAGCAAGCCAGCCGGTCCGGCCGGGCTCTCCTGCACCGGAGACCACTGCCCTGGTGTGGCTACTGCGGCCGCTGGTCCCTGTCCTGCAATGCCTGGGGAGGGGGACTGGGGACGGGGACCGGGACTAGGACCGGGCAGGAATCCCGGGAATTTGAACCCCAGAGAGCTGGCTGGTCTGGGGAGCAACTGGCACAACAGAGGGGTCTCCTGGGGCTGGGGTGGGGAGTAGACTACTGGGTTTTACAATATGTGGGGAGCAGGGGAAGCATGTTGGAAGCTGCAAAGGGGCGCAGAGTCACGGCTTTTTGGCTCGCTGCTCTGGACTTTGCCATGGCGTGCTTGCCGCGGCTGGAAGTTGTCCCAGGGTGATGCCGCCTGTCTGGCCGCACCAGGGCGCGTAATCTGCCGGAGCGCCCGTCCCGCGTCTCCGGTTTCCCCCAGACAGGTTAGTGCTGGGGGAGATGGAAGCCTATTCTGGATTCCCTGAGACCCGGGCAACTACCGGAGTCCGGGTAGGTGGCGGACGCCGTTGAAAGCGGGGGTGGGGAGGGGGAGAGACAAGGAACTG